CCGTGGGGGACAGGCTCACACTGTTGAACCGTTGGGATACCAGGCAGGCGCACCGGCGGAGGCAGATGTTTCTGCACAGACTGGCATCTCCTGGTCCCGGGCAGAAATCCTGCCACAGAGACTCCCACAGGGAGCGTCTTTTCCAAAGCGCGGACAGATGCGTTGTGTGTTTGAGACTTTGGAGAGTACTGTGATGGATTTGGTAGAAAGACGAGGTGACTCCCTGTGTCAGTGAGTGTGTGGCACAGGCGGAGAAAACAGACAGACAAGGAGCTGTCTTTGGGTGGACGACAGACCGGAGAGGACAGCTTGGTATGGGGAGGGCTGGGCAGTGCCACCTGAAGGGCTGGCTTCTCAGTCAGGCAACCCCGTCCACCTGGCCAGCCACACTGAGCCTGTCACGTCTGTCACAGGCCCTGCTCATCAACGAGGAAAACGAGGGGTTCTGTGGTGGCACCATTCTGAGCGAGTTCTACATCCTCACTGCAGCCCACTGTCTCTACCAAGCCAAGAGATTCAAGGTGAGGGTAGGTAAGTGACCAACAGCCCCCAGGGCCGTGGTGGGAGGCACAGTCACTGTCTGCTTTTCAGAGACCACTAGAGCTGATGGAATTTGTTGGGAACACTGCTTAAAATCCTGAAATCCTATTTGTGGGGGTTAGGGGCGTTTCACAGAGGAAGAAGATGAGGAAGCAGAGGAAGGGGAAGAGTGGGGAGGAGGATGGGGAGGGGGACGGGGAGGGGGAGGGGAAGCAGCCCAGCCCTTCTCCCACTGGGTCTCTGAGTCTCTGGGTCCCGGGTCTCTGGGTCTCTGTGTCCAGCTAATGTTTTATGTCTCAGTGTCTTTTATTGGGAGCCTTCCAGACCTCCCTCACTCTTTAACATACTCTGAGCACCAAGCACCTCTGTCTCTTCTATTTTTATTTGTGAGATTGTTTCATTAGCATCTGTCTTTGTCCACTAGACCCTAGAGCTGCTCAGTGCAAACCCAACACAAGCTACAAATGCAAAGCAATATATGTAAACTGGTATTTTTCTAACACTAAATGTTCTATTATACATTTTTAAATATAAAAAACAGGCTGGGCGCGGTGGCTCACGCCTGTAATCCCAGCACTTTGGGAGGCCGAGACGGGCGGATCACCTGAAGTCAGGAGTTCGAGATCAGCCTGGCCGGCATGGCGAAACCCCATCTCTACTAAAAAATACAAAAATTAGCCGGGCGTGGTGGCACGGGCCTGTAATCCCAGCTACTCAGGAGGCTGAGGCAGAAGAACCATGAACCCGGGAGGCGGAGGTTCCACTGAGCTGAGATTGTGCTACTGCACTCCAGCCTGGGTAACAGAGCAAAACTGTCTCAAAAAAAAATACATACATATATGTTTATATATGTATATTATGTATATATGTACACATACACACATACATACAGATTTTCACAATCTATCTTAACACGTTGAAAATATTTTTTCCACGTGTAATCACGTTAAAGGCGTAATAACACATTCTGCACATTTTCTTTCATGCTAAGTCTCTATTTTACGCTCATGGCACAACTATTTTACATTCTTGGCCGGCAGCCACACTGCACAGCCTGAGTTTGGGATGCCAAGCCTTTGGCCCTGGTACACCTCATTGGTGCCCACGACTGGCACGGAGGATGCACCCGCCCAAGGACACAGGAGTGGCGGCCGTCCAAAGAACCAAACGCATGAGACATGACCAGTGGTTCCCTGGGTAGCAAGGCTGACGGTCATTTTTATTTGCTGCTTTGCATTTCCCTTTATTTTCCAAATTTTCAAAAGTGACCACGTGCCATTTTTAATCAAAAAAAAAAAATCCTTAAAAAGCAACGGATGTGCGAAAGCACGTCCCCGGCTGAGCTGAGCACAGTCCCCCCCGTCTGTCCCAGGGGACCGGGACATGGAGCAGGAGGAGGGCGGCGAGGCGGTGCACGAGGTGGAGGTGATCATCAAGCACAACCGGTTCACAAAGGAGACCTATGACTTCGACATCGCCGTGCTCCGGCTCAAGAGCCCTATCACCTTCCGCATGAACGTGGCGCCCGCCTGCCTCCCCGAGCGCGACTGGGCCGAGTCCACGCTGATGACGCAGAAGACGGGGATTGTGAGCGGCTTCGGGCGCACCCACGAGAAGGGCCGGCAGTCCGCCAGGCTCAAGATGCTGGAGGTGCCCTACGTGGACCGCAACAGCTGCAAGCTCTCCAGCAGCTTCATCATCACCCAGAACATGTTCTGTGCCGGCTACCACGCCAAGCAGGAGGACGCCTGCCAGGGGGACAGCGGGGGCCCCCACGTCACCCGCTTCAAGGACACCTACTTCGTGACAGGCATCGTCAGCTGGGGAGAGGGCTGCGCCCGGAAGGGGAAGTACGGGATCTACACCAAGGTCACCGCCTTCCTCAAGTGGATCGACAGGTCCATGAAAACCAGGGGCTTGCCCAAGGCTGAGAGCCGTGCCCCAGAGGTCAGCACGTCCTCTCCATTAAAGTGAGATCCCACGCAAGGCCTGGTATGTCTCTCGATTGCCGCCTTGCCCTGGCTTCTCCCGCCCTGTCGGGGTGGGAAGGTGAAGTACGTCTGGAACCCCAGCTCCCGCCCTTCCCAGCTAGGCTGGGGATTCCTCCAGGGAATGTTCTAGTCTGTTCTAGATGGGCAGGATGGAGGCTCCAAGGATGATACTGTGCCGTGACTGCCATGGGCATTCCTTTCCCTGGACAGCTTCCCGTGTCTGGGTCACGCCCAGAGGCAGGTGGGAGCCTGTGCAGGCCCCGTGGGGTCGGGAGGGGCCCACACGCTGGCATGTCCTCCCCAAGACCTCCCACCTGGCCTGGTCTCTCTTGTTCCCCTTGGGAACTGGACACCTCCCTGGTGACTGCCTAGGACTCACAGACTCCCCGGTAGGGAAACGTCCAGGAAGCCTCTTGTTGGGGCGGACGTCTTGCATTGACCTAAACCACCGGGTGCTCTTCAACCGCACGGTGCCAGGCCCCACCCCAGCTTGGGCTTGCATGGTGGGGGCGCACGGACATCCCCCGGGTGGGTGACCTGCTTACCGGGTGGTGACCTACCTCACACCGTGGGCCCCCACCCTGGGCACCCTTAGAACCCCCTGGGGGCTTTAGCATGCCTGCATCCAGGCCACAGCCTGGCCCCTGAAATCAGTCTCTGGAGTGAAGCTGGCCAGGGGCTTCTGGAAGCTTCTGGAGCTCCTCAGGGGCTGAGTGGTGGTGGTGTGGCAGGAGGGGCTTCAGGGGGCTCCTCCTTCTCTCCTCAGGTCCAGATGTTGAGTCCTTACCTGGCTCCATCCAGCACTGTCCCTAGGCCTCAAGTTAAATGGCCACGAAAACCAAGTGAACCTTCAGTAAACAGAAAAGATTCCAGACAAGGCCTGCCGTGTGTCTCCCAAACATCCCCTGCAGTTTGCGTCTTGTGTAATGTCCCTAAGCAAAGTTCAACAGTTCTAGTACAAAAACTCCCCCAAAAAGTCATGAGCTGGGCAAAACCGTTCGTAAACAGATGTTGCGAAGTTAGGGAAAATCAAAGTGGACAGGTGTTCGACCTCCCAGAAACGGTCTGAGGAGGGGCCTGTCTCCCAGGGTGGGCGGGAGGGCGTTCCTGGCCTGCCCGCTCTGAGGCCTTCTCCGTGGAGCCAGCCGTCGGGCTCCTCGCCAGCCCTTGCTGGAGGAGAGGCTTCTGCCTCGGAACTAGCACGTGTTGGGCTGCATTTCCTAGGCAGCAACGTGGTCCCCACAGCCCCAGAGGTAAACTCTGGACTTGGATTCCCGTTTCTGGAAATCAAAGGTTGAGTGGGGTCCAGCGAGAACTCTGAGGAAAAATTTACAAGTGAAGCCCGCCATCGCCATCCCTGTCTGCACCCCTGGTTCCTGCCACACTGGGTGCCCGGTGCCCGTGCCCGCCTCGGGATAGAAAGGAAACCGGAGGCTGCAGAGAGAAGGGCCTGGGGGGTCGCAGCTCAGCATCTGCCGAAGCCCCATCCAGAAATAGGGTCTCGTCCAGGGAGGTGCGGGAGGAGGCCTTGGGAGGGAGGCAGCGGGAGGAGAGGCCCCAGTCCTAGACGCGTGCTCAGTGTTAACGTCTCAGCTCTGTGGGCTCCTGTGCTGCTGTGGCGGGGATTTTCTCTCTGCCTGAACATCTCCTTCTTCATAAGTAAAGGCAAGTGGGTTAAACCCATGTCATCTCCATGTTCACTCAGAATGGGCTAGGCCTGGGCCAGGGGACACTCTGTGACCTGAGACCCCCAGAATCCCCTGAGGGAAGCCCAGCTCTGTTTCGGGAAATAACTGAAGTGGCTGCTTGTGTGAGGTGAGACCCTGAGGACCGCACGCAGCAGGCGGTCACGGCGGGGAGCAAAGAGGGGGGAAGTGATTCCCCCCGAGAGTGAGGGAGAGACAACCTGCAGCAAAGCCCCATCGCCTCCCGCAGTGACTCCTCCGCTCCCCCTGGGAGACACCTCAAATTCTCCAAACCTTGCTTCCCTCTGCCCTCCTGGAGCTTGGCCATTTCAGCACATGCACGGCCATCCTCCCAGTCGTTCAGCCCAAACCTTGAAGCCATGCTGCCCGACCCCATTCATCACGAATCCCATCAGCTTCCCCTGCGTGAAGCATCCAGACTGCAAACGTGCTTCCCGCTGCATGGCTGCACCCCCGCCCCGTCCGGGACTAGCCAGCAGCCTCCCTTTTGACTTCTCTGGAATGTTCTGTTCTCCACACAGCAGCCACAGTGATCCCTTCAGAGCACAAATCTTTCCATGTCAATTCCTGTTCCCTCCAATATCTTCCCAACACAGTGGAAAGGAAACACCAGGTTCTTACCTCAGGCTTCAAGTGCTGATACGGTTTGGCTGTGTCCCCACCCAAATCTTGTCTTGAACTGTAATTGCCATAGTCCCCACGTGCCGAGGGAGGGACCCGGTGGGAGGTGATTGGATCATGGGGGAGGTTTCTGCCATGCTGTTCTTGGGACAGTGAGTCTCATGAGATTTGATGGTTTTATAAGCATCTGGCATTTCCGCTGCTTGCACTCGTTCTCTCTGCTGCCACCCTGTGAAGAGGTGCCTTCTGCCATAATTGTAAGTTTCCTGAGGCCTCCCCAGCCATGTGGAACTGGGAGTCAACTAAACCTCTTTTCTTAAATTACTCGGTCTTGGGTGTTTCTTCATAACAGTGTGAGAAGGGACTAATACAAAGGGCCTACATCTGAAAGCAGCAAACTACAACCCTAGGGCCAAATCTGGCCCCTTAATAGCTCTTATAAATAAAGCTTTATTGGCACAAAACCAAGTGTTCATTCATGATTGCCTGTGCTGCCTCTGATACAATGGTGCTGAGCTGTAGTGACAGACACCATTTGGCCCTTCCCCCCTTTCTCCCTCCTCCCTCCCTCCCTTCCTTTTCTCCCCTTCCTTCCTTCCATCTTCCATCCTTCTCTCCCTCACTCACTCCTTTTTCTTTCCCTCGTTCCTTCCTGTGTATTCCACACACACTTAGAACATAAGCTGCATTGTGACTTTGTCCCACCCACTGCTGTGTCCCCAGGCTGGGGCTGTGCCTGTCTCACCTCCAACTCACTACACACGGCATGGGTGTCACCTTCCACCATGCACCTGCTGCCTTTACCCTCCATTCTCTGTCTCCCTAAATATCTCCCAGGGCCCTCTGAGCCTTCACTGTTCATTTCTCTGCCTGGCCTCAAACAGAAAACGTCAGGAGGGAAGCACACAGCTGTGCAGGTCATGCCCCGAGGCTCCTGCTGCCAGCACCTCCCCCAGCCTGGACTTTGGCTGTGTTTGCAGCCCTGTCCCAGTGCTGCGGGTAGGAATGGCAGGCTGCATCCCGCTGCTCCAGGGCCTGGTCCTGGTCCTCGCCCTCCAGCGTGCGGAGCCCTCAGGTAGGCGTCTGGCTTACCTGTCTGTTGTGCCTGTGCTGTGTCCTTGATTCAGTCCACGGTGGATTTGTAGGTGACACTTTTCCCAGGAGCCGGAGGAGCCCTGAGTGCCCAGACTTGTCTTAATTCCCCTGAAAAAGCCGTTTAGGTCTTTATCATTTGGTGACAAGTATTTGGGACATGATGGTGTCACTTGGGGTCCTCCCAAGAGATGCCCAAATGGAAAGAAGCGTGTGTGCAGGAGATTCGGTGGGAAAAGGCCAGGGAGGGGGGAGGGGGTGGGGCAGGCCGAGCCCAGACTGCAATGTGGGCAGAGAGCACCTTGGCCCGGCCGGCCAGGAGTGCTCAGTCTTGAGTCAGGAGACACAGCCAGGGAGCAGCCACCCTGCCCGCCTGCCACCCTTCTACCACCAGCCACTTCGCTGGAGGAACAGCCACAGACTCCATCCTGACTCTGCCTGCACAGGCGTCCAGGAAAGCTGCACGTCAAACACCCAGCGTCGCTGCTGGCCCCATGGTCTCCCGCTGGCCCCATGGTCTCCCTCCGGAGAGGCCGACCCCCGCCCCCACCGCCCTGCCCAGCACTTACCGTGGCCGGACTTAGCTGAGCCGTCCCTGCTGTCACCCTCAGCACCGAGAGAAAGGGAGGCAGGATGTGAAGGGCCTGGGCTTTGACCCTCCGGGAGAGGGAGAGAACGTGCTTTGGGGCCCTTGGGCAGGAAGAGCCTCTGGGCTGTGGAAGACCACAGCCGCGGGCCGACTGGTTTGCCTTCTCCTCCTGGCAATCGCAGAGCCTGCTGCGATGTATAAGTTTCTTCTCTTCGTGTTTTATCAAGACGTTAAATCCTGTGCACAGGCAGCACAGGAGCTGATGGCTCTTGGTCCCCAGTGCTCAGCACAATGACCTTTGACCCCAGCTCGGCCTTCCTTCGCACTGGGACCCAAAACCCAGTTGGAGCCCCCCCTCCTCCACTTTCCCGACTGAGGCCCGTGGCCTCTCTGCAGAACCTTAATGTATCTGCACTGATCCCGGGGCTGGTCCATTCGCCCAGAGGATGAAGTGCTTGCCTACCTCGGGGGAGGTAGTGGCGGGGTGGTCCTGAGGCCCTCGAAGGCTGACAGCCTGTGGAGACGGAGGGGCAGGGGCTGGCGACTGGCTGGGGTGGAAGCCAGGCAGTTCTGGAAAGCAGGGCCCTCGGTGCTCCCAGTCACCGTCGTCTTGTCTTATCTGTAGTATTTCTCCCGGCCTCCAAAGCAAACGACGTTCTGGCGAGGTGGAAGCGCGCGGGCTCCTATCTCCTGGAAGAACTCTTCGAGGGAAACTTGGAAAAAGAATGTTACGAAGAAATCTGTACCTATGAAGAAGCAAGAGAAGTGTTTGAAAATGAAGTGGTCACTGTATGTACCCCCCACCACGAACCACAGGCTTCCTCGTTATTTAGACTTCTGCTGACCCAGGGAGCATCATTTCTCAGAGATTCAGCTTAATTAATTAGCCTATTTACTTACCGATGAGGTTGACACAATCCCAGTTTTACAGATGAGGAAACAATTTAGAGAAGTGACTTAATCCACCCACTGATCCACCCTTACCTACAGCAGGTGAGTGGGGCCAGAAGTCAGCTCAGACCCCACTGGACTTTCTTCAGGTCAGGCAAGGCCCACACACTGATCAGACAGTCCAACACACACGCCGCCCAGCTTGCGGTGACTTTCAGAGAACTTCATGCTTTTAATGGAGACCTTAAAAAAAAACTTGAAAACAGAAACGTCCTCTCTGGGATGCCACATAGTAAGAAAATCATAATCCGTGCTTGGGATTACATAAATGATTTGCTTCACATGTGACTGTGTGTATGCTCTAAATAACACAAGTAAGAATTTGCTATTTTATTTATTTATTTTTTGTATTTTTTTGAGACAGAGTCTCGCTCTGTGGCCCAGGCTGGAGTGCAGTGGTGTGATCTTGGCTCACTGCAAGCTCCGCCTCCCGGGTTCAAGTGATTCTCCTGCCTCAGCCTCCCAAGTAGCTGGGACTACAGGTGCCCGCCACCACGCCCAGCTAATTTTTTTTGTATTTTTAGTAGAGACGGGGTTTCACCATGTTGGCCAGGATGGTCTCAATCTCCTGACCTCACGATCCACCCACCTTGGCCTCCCAAAGTGCTGGGATTACAGGCGCGAGCCACCGCGCCCAGTCTAAAATTGATTCTAAATTAAATGTTGACCTGTTTCTCTAGTATAATTTTTCATGTTTTTAAAAGTCGAGTTTCTTAAATACCTATCTATAAGATAACTCTTATGAAATAGACCATTTTTAACACAACTCAGAGAAATCCTACAGGCATGTGAAAAGTGTAAAAATTTTTCAAAGTATTTTGCCCTAAATTTCATTTTTCAAACTTCCTGGTACAGAAAATTGTTTTTCATTTACTACTTATGACATTGTTCAAGTTGTTAGAAGTCCAAATATGATCTTGGGATATGCCATTTTTTATACATTTTCTTTCTAGGCTTCAAGTCTGAATAATTCTCCTAATTTTAGATACTCCTACTCCAAACTAAGCGTCCCCACTCCCTACACAGGTACATATCTTTAAAATTCAACTCGGTTTATGAAAAGTGAAAAGGTGATGTGACTTCTCTATCACATGCTTTTGTGGAGGGTGGCGTGGAGATTGGCCCTAGGAGGGAAGGGCCACATTAGGGGCTGTGTGTGGCGGGTTTGTGCCACGTCACAGACTCCGGCTTTCCTCAAATAGGTGGTGGTAAGCACATGTTGAGTAATTTATCTTACAGATACATCTAGTTACTACACATTTAACATAAACAATTAGGCTGTAAAACAGGAAAACCGTGCATTGTTTCAAACACTATTGTCCCATTAGGTGAACAAAATCAACATTTTCTTACCTTCAAGTTCATCTACAGGAAAGAATATAGAAAAACAAATGTCCCATTTGTAACACTTTTATGTTTTAATTCTAAAGGATGAATTCTGGAGACGATATAAGGGTAAGCGGTTTCCTTCATCTCCTCAGAAGTATTAATTCCTTGGGATGAGGTGAGGGGGTGGGCTTAGGACGCTTCATGACCCCAGGTCAGCGGATGCCAAGCCTTTGGCTCCAGAACCCATGATGTCTCTCCAGGGAAGGGCGCAGCTCGGACTCTGCCCGAGGACCAGGTCAGGAAGCCCCCGGGCTCTGCCCCCAGGGCCACAGGCAGTGGCCGGTTTGTCTTGCCCAGCGTCTGGGTAGTTTCTGGGCACTCTGGGACACAGGCCACAGGCCAGGAGGCCCCCCCAGAGCAGTTCCTCCATCCGCCTGGCTCCTGGCTCCTGGCTCCTGAGCTCCTGGCTCCTGGCTCCTGAGCTCCTGGCTCCTGGCTCCTGGCTCCTGAGCTCCTGGCTCCTGGCTCCTGGCTCCTGGGCACCTGGGCTCCGGGCTCCTGGGCACCCGGGCTCCGGGCTCCTGGCTCCTGGGCTCTGGGCTCCTGGCTCCTGGCTCCTGGCTCCTGGCTCCGGGCTCCTGGGCTCCTGGGCTCCTGGGCTCCTGGCTCCTGGCTCCTGGCTCCTGGGCTCCTGGGCTCCTGGGCTCCTGGCTCCTGGCTCCTGGGCACCTGGGCTCCGGGCTCCTGGGCACCCGGGCTCCTGGCTCCTGGCTCCTGGGCTCTGGGCTCCTGGCTCCTGGCTCCTGGCTCCTGGCTCCGGGCTCCTGGGCTCCTGGGCTCCTGAGCTCCTGGCTCCTGGCTCCTGGCTCCTGGGCTCCTGGGCTCCTGGGCTCCTGGGCTCCTGGGCTCCTGGGCTCCTGGCTCCTGAGCTCCTGACTCCTGACTCCTGGCTCCTGGCTCCTGGCTCCTGGGCTCCTGGGCTCCTGGGCTCCGGGCTCCTGGCTCCGGGCTCCGGGCTCCGGGCTCCGGGCTCCGGGCTCCTGGCTCCTGGCTCCTGGCTCCTGGCTCCTGGGCTCCTGGGCTCCTGGCTCCTGGCTCCTGGCTCCTGGGGAGCCTCATGCTGCAGCAGGCTCCTGGCTCCTGGGCACCCGGGCTCCTGAGCTCCTGGCTCCTGGCTCCTGAGCTCCTGAGCTCCTGGGCTCCTGGCTCCTGGCTCCTCCTGGGGAGCCTCATGCTGCAGCAGGGTCAGAACCTGTCTCAAATTTTGGAAAGTGATGGCCCCCATGGAGACTTTGGTTGCAGGACTCCTCCCGAGGGAGGAGTTCCAGGTGGGCAACTGCAGAAGAGCATGGGACAGAAGTGACGTAGATGGAGACCCACAGGGCTGGGGGAGGCCTGGGAATGAGTAAGCAAAGAGCTGCAGCCACCACCAGACAAGCATGGAGACAACTGGGCACAGAAGGAAGCGGGAGAGGCCTGGGAGGCCGGAGAAGGGCTGATGGGGCGGGACAGAGGGGGCCACATGTGGACGAAGAAAGGGTGCCCAGCAGAGCGGGAGGCACCGGCAGCCGGACCTACGTTCTGAGCGGGAGTGTCCTGGGGGCCAGACGACAGCATGGGGAGCAGCACGAGTGGGCTCAGTCCCCGTCCCTGCCATCCCCTGCCCCCCAGCCTCCTCCTGCTCAGGTCCCCGTCTCTGCCACCTCCCCCCATCCTCCTCCTGCTCAGGTCCCCATCCCTACCGCCTCCCCCACCCTCCTCCTGCTCAGGTCCCCATCCCTACCGCCTCCCCCACCCTCCTCCTGCTCAGGTCCTCGTTCCTGTCACCACCACCCTGACCCCTACCCTCCTCCTGCAGGTGGCTCCCCGTGCATCTCCCAGCCCTGCCTCCACAACGGATCTTGCCAGGACAGCATCTGGGGCTACACCTGCACCTGCTCCCCTGGCTATGAGGGCAGCAACTGCGAGCTGGGTGAGGCCCCGGCCGTCCCTTTCCCCCAGGGCCTCCCTGGGCAGGCAGGCCTCACATCCTCTGCCAGGGTCCCAATGGGCCCCTCTTGGGGTGTAGACACGAAGGTGCCTGTGTGAACCACAATTTGGCTCACCCCAGTGGATTCCTCTCATCCCAATCAGATTCTCCTCTGGAAACCACACCCGGTGGGGCTGGCAGAATTCTGAGTTGCCCCTTCCAGACAGGTCCCCCATACTTTTCATGGCATGGGCCCCCTCTCCTCCCCACCCCCGCCTCAACCATTCACAATCTGCTCACAGGCTGGGGGTCACACACAGGCGTCCTCAGGGCTGGACCTACCCCAGTGGGAGACTGCAGACCAGGAAGACGAAAAGCACGTAAACAAATATCCTTAAATATCCGCCAAATGTCAGTGTCCGTAATCGCCAACTACAGCAACAAGTGTGCTCCGTCCTCAGCACCGCTGGTCAACTCGGAGCCCGTTTCTCTGGGGAAAAACCTTCCTTTCAGCCTAGCCCTCTCCTCCGAAATCCGGATTTCTGCTCCATCTGCCTCCTTGATGCCTCGGCTAGTGCCTTCACAGACATCCCAAATTTACCACGCACCAAACGGGCCTTCACCCACCTGCCCCTTTCTTAATCTCCGCCCTCTGGGTGGACAGCCCCCATCCCCGCTGCTTGGCCAGCACTGACGTCTCACTCACCCCTCCCATCCCACGACCCCGCCTCACAGCAGCACATTGAAGGGAACAGCCAGTGCAAGGCAGCAGAGAAAACAGGTGTGTGGATTACAGTCCACGTGGAAATACATCCAGGGCCACATTTTCTAAGGACAGATGGAAGTGCCGTCACTCATGGAGTCTTTTTTAAAAATTTTATTTATTTATTTTTTTGAGACGGAGTCTTGCTCTGTCACCCAGGCTGGAGTGCAGCGGTGTGATCTCAGCTCACTGCAAGCTCTGCCTCCCGGGTTCACGCCATTCTCCTGCCTCAGCCCCCTGAGTAGCTGGGACGACAGAGGCTGGCACCACGACCGGCTCCTTTTTGTATTTTTAGTAGAGACAGGATTTCACCGTGTTAGCCAGGATGGTCTCCATCTTCTGACCCCGCGATCCACCCACCTCGGCCTCCCAAAGTGCTGGGATTACAGATGTGAGCCACCGCGCCCAGCCTCACTCATGGAGTCTTTGTTTTACATGCACATTCCTGAAATACGGAAGTCTGGCAAACACTGACACAAAGGGCAACGGTCTGAAGAGAATGAGGACACATGGACCAAAACACCAGAACTCTGTGTGCAAGGCTGTGATCAAATGCCAAGCCAGCATTTCTGGTCTTTTTTTTTTTTCCTTCTCAGCTAAAAATGAATGTCACCTGGAGCGGACTGATGGGTGTCAACACTTCTGCCTTCCAGGACAGGAATCCTACACGTGCAGCTGTGCTCAAGGCTACAGGCTTGGTGAGGACCGCAAACAGTGTGTTCCCCACGGTGAGTGCTCAGACCACAGCAGCCTCCAGCTTCCAGTGCCAGTGACCCTGTCCACATCCTCCTTCCTTCTTCTGTAGTATTGGGTAAAGCCCACAGATTTGTGATAAGGAGTTGCCACGACTCAGAAGGTGGTCCGCATCTCCATGCTGGAGCAATGGCAATGCTAGAAAGTGCAGTTTCTGTCACTCGTGCTTGCTCGGACCACGCTGAGCTAAACCATGAGCGCCGTGAGGGGGTGGCTTAACTCCAGTCTGCGTGTCTGTGTGAATTATTGCACATTCATCAGCATTAAGGATGCGATTATAATGGTTAATACCATAGCCGGAATTATGCAATGGTTAACACCACAGACAGAGTCCGATATTCACTGGGAAGGCGCTGATTTTTATTCTCATGTCGCTGCCGCAAATGCAGACCAGTGTGCCTGTGGGGTGCTGACCTCCGAGAAGCGTGCACTGGATCTACAGGACCTCCCGTGGCAGGTAACAGAGCGCTCTCCGCGTGCCTCAATTTATTGTTACGACTTTCACCTTACTTGTCATTTCCTAAATAGAAATGTAACGACTAAGTGAATCAGTCATCCTGACTTCGATGGGCTACTGACTGCATTGACTAACCTCTATTCCCACTTCAAAGTGTTTTCTAATGCCAAGTTCATAACTTCAGCTGTCTTCATTGCTTGCCTCAAATACAAAAGGATAGCATTATTTACAGCCCCCAAGACCTTTCCTCTGCAGTTCCAAACTGTTACCAATGTCATTTCCTCAGAACATAAGCATCTCGAAGTCACAGCACGCCTGGGAAGCGCTTCAGTGATGGGCTGCCCCAACCTGGGGACCTGGGTGTCATCACAGAGCGGCTGAGTGGCAGCTTGGGCACCAGCTCAGGGACTGACTCTGCTCTCGGCTGCTGGCCTGGCTGGCATTCTAGCTTTGTTATTTTGTTCACTAAATTTCTCTAGTTTGGCATTCACTTTTGTTCTTCTCCTTTTCCCTTCCTTGGCTGATTTAGAACTTAACCATTCACTTGTTTTTGGGGGTATTTTGTTTGTTCTGTTTTGTTTTGAGATGGAGTCTCGATCTGTCACCCAGCCTGAAGTGCAGTGGTCCAGTCCCGGCTCACTGCAACCTCCGCCTCCTGGGCTCAAGCGCTTCTCCTGCCTCAGCCTCCTGAGTAGCTCGGATTACAGGCATGCGCCACCACGTTCGGCTGATTTTTATTTTTAGTAGAGATGGGGTTTTGCCATATTGGACAGGATGGTCTCGAATGCCTGACCTCAAGTGACCCACCCGCCTCAGTCTCCCAAAGTGCTGGGATTACAGGCATGAGCCTCCATGCCTGGCCTCATCTTCACTTTGTTTATTTAATGGTCACTCTTGACACATAAACATCCATATTCAGCACATGTAAAGTCAGCTATTTCTCCCTCCTCAGGCTAAGTCCCAGCACCTCATTCTGGGTCCATTTGCTGTCTGGCCAGTATTTTATTCTTTTCTTGCTTTCTGTATAGCTTCACAAAATGGATATTACGATTTTTTTAATTATGGTTTTATGCCACCAACACTGGCTTTGATTTACTTACCTCATTTTCCACTTTCCTTGCCTTTCACACCTCTAACACTATTATCTCCTTCTGCCTGAGTATATCCTTCAAAACAGCCTTGTCCAACAGAAACGCAATGTAAACCACATAATTTAAAATTTTCTAATAGCCACAATAAGTAAAAGCATGTGAAATTAATTTTGATAATATATTTTATTTAACCCAATATGTGTCACTAGTTCCCCATGTAATGAATATAAACATTATTGAGGTATCTGCCTTTCTCCTTTACACTGAATCTTTGGAATCCGGTGTGAATTTACACTGAGGTGCAGCCCTCATGTCCACATCTGTACCCGGGTGTGGCGCCGTGTGGATGGCACAGCCTCAGGGGCCCCCTTCATGAGGGCCTGTGAGTAACAAGCCCCTGAAATTTCTGTGTGTGACATGCTTCAGCTTCACCTGATTCTTACAAGATAGCTCTGCCCAGCCCACTCTGGCAGCCGTGTGGACTGGGAGAGAACAGGATGGAGCTCAAGGACTTGAAGCCACCCAGCTCCAGGGTGGAAAGGAAGAGACTGAAGGGAGGCAAAGCAGACAGAGTGATGGAAGGCGGGGATGGAAGCGGGAATGGTCTATCACCAGCTTCGTAAACTTCCTCTCAATCTTTTATCACCTTTCCTCCCCAAGCTTTCTAAAACAGTTCTTCCTATCGCTGTCTGCCCCATAAGTGCACTGAGGGTGGGTACCTGGGAGGCCCAGAGTGCAGTGGTCCTCCATAGGTGGTGACAGGGTCTGGCTCTACCACCTGCAGGCTGTCTCCAGCTTCCCAGCTTACCCAACTGAAGACAGGGTGCGGTTCTAGTCTGTAACCGTAGCACTCATACCAGCAAGGCTAAGAGCCATATAACCGAGGAGGTGGCATTCTCTAAACACAGCTGGTGTGTTTAAGATACAGGACATTATTGGCTTAGGCAGGCTACATACTATTAGATTTTTACTCCAGTATTATACATTGTTCTGAAGTTATTTAACTGAATATATGGAATTCCCTAAAACAAACTTTGAAAAGGAGAATAATTAAGTGACCTAGCAGGATATAGGGTTGAAGATTATTTTTAGAACTTCCTTGTTTCTTACATCCTAGGGAAGAAATTTTACTAAAAGTCTGGCAGACTGATGGCATAAGTGCCCCCTTCTCTCGAACTTGGTTTTATCCCCTTTAAAGTGAGGATCTCACCCCCAGAGTTGCAGTGAGGATTACAGAGAATGTTCTTGACTTATGGTAGGTATTCAACAAGTGGCAGCTATTACTCATAAACACATAAAGAGTTCCAGGAACGATGCCACGGTAAAGTTGAAAACTCTTTTTTACTTTGCTCAGCATTTTGTATTTTATCAGACTGTTGAAAATCGTAACACTTAACACTTCCAGAGCCAGCACCCGTACTATGTGGGTACATGCTTTATTTCATTTAATCCTTCAAATAACTTGTTTTCTCCTTTTGCATCCCTGATAATATTATTTGCTCTAAAATCCCCTTTGTCTGATATTGATATAGCCACTTTAGCTTTCTAATTATTAGTGTTAGCATTATCTTTTTCCAATCTTCTACTTTTAACCTATTTGTATTTTTATAAAGTACATGTTTAAAAAATAAATAAGGTACATGTTTTATATGTAGTATATAATTGGCTTTCATTTATATCTCTCTGTCTTTTAATTGGGGTATTTAGGCCATTTTGCATTTATTATAATTGCTGATATGTTTAGGGTTAAAGCTATCATCTTGCTATTTTTTTTTCTCATCTGTTCTTTCCCCCTTTTTCTGCCTTCTGTTAGATTAACTATACCTTGTTAGGATTCTGTTTTCGCTCCTTTGTTGGTTTACCATCTCCGGTTCTTTGTCGGCAGTTGCTTCCCAGTTTGGAGAATACATCTTTACCGTATCACAGTCCACTCCACCTTCGCCGACGCCACATCCGCTCGCTGTAGCGTGAGTCCTTAGCTGGGACCGCAGGTGTGCACCACCACCACGCACAGCTAGTTTTTAAATTTCATGTAAAGACGGGGTCTTGCTATGTTGCTCAGGCTGGTCTCAAACCCCTGGGCTCAAGCAGTCCTTCCACCTCTGCCTCCTAAAGTGCTGGGATTACAGGCACAAGCCACCGTGCCCGACCGGCCCATTATTTTCAGATTTTTTTTTCTCTCCTCCTTCTCCCTGCTCTTTTTTGGGAATCTAACTACATGTATCTTAAGTTGTTTGAAGTTCCATAGCTCAGAGATGGTCTGTTTGTTTTTCAAAGATCTCCTTTCTTTCCGTGTTTTACTTCTGATAGCTTCTGTTGTGACGCCGTCAAGGTCATCCATCTGTTCTTTTGCAATGTCTAATCTGCCATTCATCCTGGGCAGGGGATGTTTAACCTCATATGCTGTAGCTGTCATCCAAAAATTTAATTTAGGCTTTTAAAACTACATATTTTTGTCTCTACTTAAGTTTTTGAATATTTGGACTATAGTTACAATCACTGTTTAATTGTCCTTGTCTACTAATATCTGTCCATGCTGACTCAGTTTTGGGAGATTTTTCTTCTCATTATGGGTCACATTTTCCTGTGTGTTTGTACGCCTGGTGATCCGTAACGGGTTTCCAGACATTGTGAATTTTATCTTGTTAGGTGCTGAATATTTTGTGCTCTATACATACACTTGGATATTGTCCTGGGACTCAGTTAAGTTGGAAATACTTTCATCCTCTGGCACACTGCTCTTAACATTTGTCAGTAGGGCCAGGGCAGCGCTCAGTCTAGAGTTATTCTGAGTACTGAAGTGAAACCCTCTGTGCATCCTGCCCCGTGCCCCCGAGTCAGGGATGTTTTAACTCAGGTGGTGGAATCGCTATTCCCAGGCTGCGTGAGTGTCTAGCACGGGTCCTGCTCACCCTCCTGAGTGGTTCTTTCCTGGCCATTATTAGTCTCCATGTGCACCTGTGATCACCACTGCTCTGCTGAAAACTGCTAGGCATGCGGCCATCCTCCAGCATTCTCTACCAAGCTCTCTCCTCTGAAGGACTCTGTTCTGCAAACTCCAGGCACTGTGGCCTCACTGGGCTCTCAGCTTTCCCTCTTCAATTTAGGGAGTTGGCAGGGCTCCAACTGAGATGCCCCGTCCTGCCCTGTGCCAGGGAAATTCTGGACAGTAGCTGAGACAGGTTGTTTCTTGGGGATTACAGTCCCTGAAAACCATCATTCCACAGATTTTGTCCGTGTTTTGCTTCAGGTGGGAGGGTCAGTCTGATCACTGTTACCTCACCTGGGCCGAAAGGGGAAGTGCCGGCCCCATTTAATCCCTGAGCAAATAAAAGCTTAGATTGTCAGCAATTCGATAACAATGCTGTAGCCATTTGAGTGCTGGGGCAAGATTCAAATACGGCTGTCTGCCTTTGGAGTCCATATCCCTAACCAGTAGACTTTACTGCCCCTAATCCCGCAAACTGTCAGCAGCTATTTATTGCCTGTTTTGATTTTTAAAGGTAAAGTTAACAAATGCCGAAGGAAAAGACTTCTGTGGTGGTGTTATAATACAGGAAAACTTTGTACTGACAACAGCAAGATGCTCACTGTTACACAGGAATATCAGTGTAAAAACATGTAAGTATTTTATCATGAGTTTTTATAAAACCACATTGGAAATACACTATTCTATGTAAGAATGAAATGAAAAATTTAAAATTGGACTGTTTCTAATGCAACATAGAACTGAATTTACTGTCAATAAAACTGAGATACTTATAAATTCAGAAAGCACATGCAAAATACCTAGCACACACCGGGGTCCAGCGACGGGCAAGTGCTAACTCACACACGGCAAGGGAGGCAATCGCGACGGGCAAGTGCTAACTCACACACGGCAAGGGAGGGAATCGCATCGGACGGGCAAGTGCTAACTCACACTCGGCTCAAGGGTCGCTGACGGGCAAGGCTAAAAAAAAACTCACACTGTCGGCGTTTTTTTTTTTTTTTGGCACGGGAGGGATATTCGCGCATGGGCAAAGTGCTAACTCACACTCGGCAAGGCGACGGAATGCGCATGGACAGTGCTACTCACGGCGAGGGAGGGGATCGCGACGGGCAAGTGCTAACTCACCACTCGGGCAAGGGAGGGAATCGCGAGGGACATGCTAACTCACACTCGGGCAAGGGATGGAATCACAGGACCTACTTGCTGGTGACTTCTTTTCCCACTGAAATCGGAGGCAGCTTGTGGCTAAGATGCATGGGTAATTGACTAAAAATCTAAGATATGGGCATCGAATCCCTCAGCCAGGGTTGGGACCTTGCTGGAAGGACAGTGGGCCTTTTATTGGCTTATCTGTGGCCTATTTCTTTTTTATTTTTTTTTTTTTTTTGAGCCAGACGTGCTAACTTCATATCTCAAGGCTGGGCAGTGTAGTGGATGATCTGGCTCCACTCGGCACGTGCCGCCCTGCCCACGGGTTCATGAGCGGTGTGGTCTTTGCAATGGCCTCAGCCTCCCAGGTACAGGCTGGGATTTACAGCGGCGCACCACCGGGGGGAGTGGGGCCGGCTAGGACTTGTCTTTTGTAATTTGTAACGGGGGGTAAAGACTTGGGGTCTTACACCATGTTTGGCCAGGGCTTGGTCTCGACCCTCCTGACCCACACCGCG